TTTTTAATTTATTATTTATTAATTTTGTTTTCCAATTATCAATCCCACCTAAACCTCTAATAATTGACTAATTCTCCCTAATTAGCTAATTGATTCTTTTAGCTCATCATCTTTGATAAGCAAAAATAATCCCACTCTACTCGTGACTCACTTCCTGACCTTTTCTATTCTTGCTTGCTCTAATACTCCCTAAAACTCTAACTCTTCAAAGTTCAAACTCTTTTCATATTCTTCAGCCTCCATAGTTTATACAACCTTTGACTTTCAAAGTTTGACTCCACCTTTTCTCCTTAGTCTTTAACATCATCTCAAACTCATATTTCAATCTCACCGAGTCACCGTTGCATTGACTTAGCCTTTTCTTTCTTTCTCCCTCAAGTCTGACAAGTCCTCTTTTTGTTACCAACTTTTCTCTTTAAAGCCTTCAAAGTAAGTTGTTTACTTGGTTACCCTTTTTAGTTTTCTTTCCATTCCAAGTAAAAATTCTACATGATCTTCTCCTTTGCTTGGATAGATGCATTCAATTGATTGATTCTTTGAAAGCAATGACCATAACAAATATGTTTTAATGGGCTTTGTGTTTTTTGGTTGTCATGGTACTACTACTTTTCTTATTAATTTTTTTTTTTTTTTGCTATCAAGATTTATAAGTGTATGGTGTTCTCAAATTTAATGAGTGTTGTTCTTTGAAGGGAAGTGAAGAAGGTGATTCTAAGGAATTGTAAATATGTTTTTATTAAATTAATGAAAAAAAAACTTTTTACAAGATATTGAATTTCATTTTTAAATATTTTGAATAATTTTTTTTAGATGATAATATGTACAAATTATAGAAAAAAAAGGGGAAAAAATTTAATTAGATCAACCTACAAGTTGACCCATCACCCGTAATGGACGGATTAGGATCAGCCTTTATTGACTCGTAACCCATTTTAACCCAATATGTTTTGACCTATGACTTGTTCTGACCCAACCAAAGTCCAACTCGATCCACCCGTTTGCCAAGCCTATTATAGTCCTAGTTGCTTAGGAAAGGCAAGCTCTAGACCAACTTCACGCACGAGATCAGTCATTCCGGGGAAAATAATGGCAAACTACCAAGGAAAATTATCATCACCAAGAAGCTTTTCAGTGTTTTCATCCACAAATTCCAATCCTATATCAAGAAACAAAAAGTTGTAAGATATAGACATGAAATTCAAATACATATATATATAAACCTTAATTAAGTTATTTAAATCTTATTGTTATACCCAAAATTGAGTTCTATGAAAATTAGGACATATAGAAATATCTTATGAAGACTCCTATCAAGAATAGGATAAACCCAATTCTATTAGAATTAGAATACCCAAACACCAATCAAATAGAGTTGTATTCCTAAGATAACTTAATGTAAACATCTTATAAATACTTTAAGAATAAACTTAGAGAGACAGATTATTTTCTCTGCTTTCTCTCCACTATAAACTTTTTCTGTCAATAAAGTTCTCGATTCCATACTCCCTATTTTTTAGTGCTAACATTTGGCACCTACCGTGGGACTGAGTTCTTGTTCCCCCATGAAAACCACATGGCAAATCTGAAAAATTCATTGCCATCACTCAAAGATCTTCAAAATCAGGGAAATAGCGAAGAAACAAGCAATTCTCTTCCACAAGAGCGAACTCAAGGAGAACTGCAAACAAGGCTACATTAGGAGTTTTGTCCGTCGCGTCGCAAATGGAGAAACTTGCGCAGGAGATGGAAAAAACAAGACAAAGTTTAAAGGTGATCGAACAGTCCATAGCGTCTTTAACGAATGCTATAAAAATTCCAACACAAGATCAAGGGCAAGCATCGCCTCGGAAGATTACAGCATAGAGAGAAGTCCGACAACCTTCTTGGAAAACACAAGACTCAGTGCAGGAAAGCAGTGATTATGATAAGAGTTATGCACCTTCAAGACCAATAGAATTGACTATTGATGCAAGTTTACAACCATCCTCAGCCTTTACTAAATATAAATTCCGAAACAGAAATGCAACATCTGGTGCACAAGGAAGCGGAGGAATAGCTGCGCAGCAAATATATGCACAATTAATGAAAAAGGATGTAGTGTAGGTTCATTCTAATGATATTTATAAAGAAACACCCATGACACCAACACAATTAGTAAAAAAGGATTGCGCAGGTTCATAGTAATGATATCTATAGAGAAATAGAGACATTACGCCAATATATATCGAAGGTTGAAGTAGGAAGACAAAGATGGCCATAATTAACGTACAGAGTCAGTAGAAAAGGCTTTCACTAATGACATCATTAAAGAACATGTGCCACTAAACTTTAAAACTCCCCAATTGGCAGAATATGATGGGACACAGGATCTAGTTGAGCACATACAAGGATTTAGGATGGCAATGATGGTATATGGGGCTTCTAATGCCCTGCTATGCAAACAATCTCTTGCAACTTTCAAGAAAGCTACGCAGGCTTGGTTTGCAACGCTACCAGAAAATCCATTCAAACTTTTGATCAGTTTGCGAACATATTTATTAACCACTTCACTGCCAGCAGAACCCCCGAAAAACAAACCATCATCTCTTGACGATTAAGCAAAAGATAAATGAATCATTAAGAGCCTACATAGCAAGGGTCCATGATGAGGTTGTGCCAGTCGAAAAACTAGATCAAAGTGTAGCCATGCGCACAACTTAATGGACGGTTTGAAAGACTCAAGCTTTTACAGATCTTTAAATAAGCGAGAGCCAACTAGTTTCAATGATTTATTGAAGAGAGTAGAGAGGTATATCAGGGCAGAAGAAAGAACAGTGATAAAAGAAGCGTAGGAAATATCAAAAAATATCAAAACATCAGAGGAGAACCGAAAGCAAAAAATAGAAAACGAAGAAATCTCAAGAAATCCTACAAGTACAAAGGCTGATACAAATCACAAGTAAGGGCTGGACACGTGTAAAAGCCTACGAAAGGAAATGATTACACCAGCAAAGAAATCTTGAAGCAAATACAAATAAAGAAATTAGGATACTTGCGCAGCATATGGAAGTTGACAAAAAGCATACCGAAAGCTGTGAAAATGATGAAAAACCTGTGCTATACTATTTTTTCCTTAAACTAGTTTTTTATCCCACAAGTTTTTTTACTAGCTAAGGTTTTAACGAGGCAACCATAGTCACAAAATCTTTGCCATAATAAGATGGAACCTCTTAAAGGCAAAGATATGAAAAAGCTATGCAAAATTTGGAAGTCAAGCTACTCAGCAAGTTTTTGTGATCCTCAAACTTTCTTTGATGGGGGGCAAATGTTATACCCAAAATTGAATCCTATGAAAATTAGGACATATGGAAATATCTTATGAAGACTCCTACCAAGAATAGGATAAGCCCAATTTTATTAGAATTAAAATACTCAAACATCAATCAAATAGAGTCGTATTCCTAAGATAACTTTATGTAAATATTTTATAAATATTTTAAGAATAAACCTAGAGAGATAAATTATTTTCTCTACTTTCTCTCCACTGTAAACTCTTTCTGTCAATAAAGTTCTCGGTTCCATACTTTCTATTTTTTAGTGTTAACACTTATAATATTGAAATCTTATATATATATATATATATATTTGTTTGTTTAACTATTAGTTGTTTGTTTAACTATTAGAGGAAACTTGATTAATTAGAGAGAACAGCTGCGATGAGCTGTTCCCTAATAGTTAAACCATACAAGCCTATACATATGCTAACTAGCTAGTTTTTGAAGCACGTGTAATCACCTCTTTCTACTTCCTTTGTCCCAACGTTCCACTTCTTGAGTGCAACTACACATGCAAGAGTTGCTGGAAGAGACTCGATGGTAGGCATGCCGTGGCCATCACACTCTCCCCAGTACCCAATCCAAGCACCCTCTGAACA